AGCACCCTCCTCCCAAAAGCCACAACAGCGGGAGAGGATGTCAATTGCTGGAAATAGGTGACCTGCGTTTTTGGACAAAAATACTCATCATGATGCTACTCACCATCGCCCTCGATGCCATCTTCACTTTCCTGAAGGAAAGGAGAAGTCATCGGTTAGTTTGTAATTTCCAGAGGGTGGAGAGCTGAAGACTCAACACAAAATGGTTAAAAAGGGAAATGAGGAATGGCACTTCTTCAACAAGTAGCCTCCGAGGGAGGTACGGTCTCTTCACCGTCAGCCCCAGTTTCTGGCTATAACATTCGCTGTCCATCCGCAGCGGCTCTGCACTCCTCCCAGAAACCCCCAACTCCTCCTCTTCCCTTGGGGCTCCGGATGCAAACTGCACTGGGATAACTGTCCTCTACTCCAACACAATATGCCTCAGCACCTACCGCCGGCTCTCAGTCTCCCATCTTTACCTACACCACGCCCCCAGGCCCGCAAGCTACCCGCCCCCGCCGACCCCGCCCGCGCGCACTTACACACTCCGACTCTTCAGCGCTCCTGGCACCCCCGCTCTCCACCCGCCGCAGATGAAGGGCCCCAGCTCGGCCTCCGCGCTGGGAAGGCAGAGAGCCGCTGCCGCTGCCTCCAGCACTACTGCTGCAGCCCCCCCCGCCCCGAGCTAGTGAACCGCCGCTGTCTGAGCCGGAAGCACCAGACTCTTCGTCCTCTGTGTCCTGCGAAGCGCGCTGCCGCCGCCTGTCCGCCATCTTACGGAGAACGGCCGTAGCCAGCCAGTTCCTTACGTACGCCCGTCGCAGGGGCTGCCGGGAGTCTAGAAAGCTAGTCCCAGAATGCTTCACGTGTAGCACTGATCGCCTGGCTTTTCGGGAAATAGGGGACTGGGGGCGGGTCTGGCTCCTTGCGGCACGTTTGCGAAGGAGGGGGATTACGTAATCGGTTACGCGAGGTGGGGGGCGTGGCGCGTCCCCGACTTCCCTGGGGAGCCTCGGGCGAGGGAATCTGCGTTTGGGCAGCCTCCTGAGGCTCCTCGCCCGGCCATCTTGGTCTTTCCAAGTGGAAGGCGTTGACCTGTCATAGCTTCACTGCGGCATTGGAGCTGTTTCATGATTTTATTTTTCAGTTTCTCGTTTCTGCATACGTTTGAAGCAAATCATTTTACAGCATTTGGTAAAATCACGAATCAAGGTAAACCTCTAAAGTCGTGCTGCATCAGATTTGCCACACCATCCCATTTTAAGATAAAGAGCGAAGGAAAAACGAGTTGTCTGCGATGAAGCCTGAGGACTTACTGTTGCAGCATTTTCCCTGCTTTCTCTTGTCCTCCTCTCTTCACGTGCCTTCCCATCCCCGCTGTATCACGTCTCCCAAAGTGCCTCCTGGTCTGATGCTAGTCTTACCCAGATTTTAGAAGAGATGATTAGGAACCGGTGTTGGTTCAATATACTGACATGATTTTCCTTTTTGTTAACCAGATGAGGGAATGCTTTGATTTTTGCAAGGTATTTGTCAGCGATGGAAGAAGAAAAAAATCAGTGTACAGGGTGGGACAAAAGTGGGTTTACAAGTTGTGAGTATGTGGAAGTTTATTCTTGTATTATTATTTAATAATTGTATTATTTTCCATACGAACTTTTTTGCCCTACCTTGTATTTTCTTTGGACTGTAATAAGGACCAGATGTGTGAGCTAATTTATTACTGCAACTACAAGAGTACACATTAATACTATACATGTATCAGAGAAAGATTACTGTGTCACAGAACAGGATTCTGTTTTGTGTACTATCTTTACAAATTATATATGGTTAAGGATCCCGATGCTTATCAAATTTATAGGCAGGATGTAACTAGAAGGTATTCTGAATGTTTTCTGAGATAGAATTAGGATCCAAACAGATCTCAACTGGTTAAAAAGTGGCCAAACGTGACACCTTGTAAATCCAGCTCCAAAAACCAACTGCCCTAGTTCAAAATGGAGGATCTATAATTTAATGTTTAAATCCTGGAGGGTCTTCTTGATCTCAAGGCAAATTGATACAAATAAGGCTGCCAAGTTTAGTGTCTAAATAAGGAAAATGATATTCTACCACTTTACCTTAAAGTTGTTTGGTCTGGGTTCAGTTTTTAAATGGACATAAGCAAATTGTTTACTTATCCAGAAGGAACTAAAAAATTCAAATCCCTTTCTTAAAAATTTCATTGATTTTAGATAAAGACAAAGTTCGACCTGTTCCACTTATTTATGCATTCATTGGTTCTTTTTTTAAAAGATTATACTTTTATTTTTTAAAAGAATGTATTTTGATTCTTTTGCATTTTAAAAAAATTTATTTAAGAGGGGGAGAAAGAGAGAGAAATATCAATATGTGGTTGCCTCTCATGCGCCCCCCGCCCCACTGGGGACCTGGCATGCAACTAAGGCATGTGCCCTGACTGGGAATCGAACTGGTGGACCTTTGATTCGCAGGCATGGGCTCAATCCACTGAACCACACCAGCCTATTTATTTACTTTTAAAGAGAGAGGGAGGGAGAGAAACAGCAATGTGTAAGATACATCAATTGGTTGCCTCTCACAATCCCCCAACTCCGGACCTGGCCCTCCACCCAGGCATGTGCCTGGACTGGGAGTTGCACCAGTGACTTTTAGGTTTGCGGACATGATGGAATTGATCTTTTTTCATCACCCTGAAAAGCAAAGCAAGAACCCATGGGTTTGAGTTATAAAAAGTTAGGTTTTGTGAACAAGGAAAAATTTCCTAACATTTAAGGAAAAAATGTGTAAGGGGGGAAAAAATCAAAGGATTGGAGCAGAATCTGGACTTCATTTGTCTGGAATGTTGTTCAGGGAAAATCATATATTAGAGGTCAGACTAGATGACCTCTCCGGTCTTCTTTTCAACTTTGAGGTTTTATTAATTTAGACACCAAGTACCAAGTATTCTATCCTACAGTCTCTTTTTAAAGTTGCCAATATGTGTAAGGAAGAATACAGGAGAAAGAGGGATGAAACACATTGTGCTCATACGCAAATGCAAATGAGTAACTTAATAAGAGGGAAAGTGGTATGTTTTTCTATTTTGTGAAATAATTTTCTTTTAAAATCTACAAATAAGAGCCCTGGCTGCTGTGGTTCAGTGCATTGAGCACTGGCCTGCAAACGAACACCTAAAGGTTGCCTATTTGACTCCCAGTCAGGCACATGCCTGAGTTACAGGCCAGGTCCCCAGCTGGGGGTGCACAAGAGGCAACTGATAAACATCTCTGACACCAATGTTTCTCTCCCTCTGTCCCCCTCCCTTCCCCTCCCTCTACAAATAAATAAAACCTTTAAGAAATATATCTACAAGCAGAATTGTTTGATGTTTCCCAATAAAATAAATTGAAGCAGAAGTTCAAAAATTAACAGCCACAATAGTTTATTTACAATTGAACTCTTTATAAGATATTTACAAGACAACCAATTTTACACATCAGAAATGGTATCAAAAGTATGAATTACAACACAGACAACAATATGAAATGGGCTTAAAACAAAGCTGAAGTGGACAGACAAGCAATTTCTCTTTTTAATTTATTAACACTAGCTTGAAGTTTGTTAAAGAAACAAAGAACTATGTTTTAAGAGAACTGCAGGACCTTCAGTTGAAGACTGAATTTCACAGTGTTGTACCCCATGTAGGGAAAAAATAAGACTAATTTTCCCCCCACACCCTAACACACTGTAATTTCATTCTTGGAACTTTGCTAATCTACTCTCCAGCCTCCTTATCAACAAACCTCAAGATGTCCAAATCAAAGAATCTAAAAGAGGGAGCAATGAAGTAAAAGGTTCTAGGTAGTGGGAGAACCAACGAAATAGAATCCACTTAAGCCTGGCCTGATAGCACCTCATGGATTCTTCTTAGTCTAGCTCAAGTTCAGAAACCGGAGTTGCGGTGGTAGGGCACAAACAAAAGGTTAATTTACTAACCCATATCCAAATCAGAAATCCAACAAATGCTGAAAATCAAGAAGAAACAGAGGAATCGAGGAACAAAGTAAAGAGACAATGACTCGTATTTTCTCTGCTTGGGCACTTTATAAAGAAACAACATAGGTCACAGTAAGAAAGCCAAACAACTTGCCATGGTAAAATGATGAAGAACGTGGAAAATCCTGGCCCAGTTTTTCTAGAAATCCTTTCCTTAGGGTGTGAGATGAGAGCCCCTAGTGGATTAAGTCCTATTTCTCTCTATATTCTTGCTGCAATGAAGTTCACAGCAGGTTCCCTTGTGGAGAGTCTACTCTCCTAAGCAGATGGAGTTACAAATGAAAACCCAAAGCCGCGCGCACGCGCGCACACACACGCACACATACACACACACAAAGGAGAAATAAGAGCAGCAAGATCATCCAAGAATACTACATGTGCTGCCGGGATAATTCTTTTAAAAGTCAAACCCAGGGAGCACAGATCAACATCTCACAAAAGCTTTAGCAGTGGGAGGCCCCTGAGGAACTTTTCTTCGTTTCTTCCCACAATGGTATCCCATTCTCTCATGCTCCACTGATGGGCCGGCCACACACCCTACATACCTTGGCTTCTCCTCTAAAAGTGCTAATAATCTGGGGACATTCTCTTCAAGGATAAAAGCCCCTATCTTCTAGGAGATTAGGCCCCTACTTGTTTCCACACGATAGTCCTGAAGACTAAAGAAAGGCAATTCCTATATATTTAAGACCAGTGGTCTTGGCTCTCTTTTCCTTCCAGATAGTTACAGGGATCTTACACTGAGACCAAAGTGGCCTGGAGTGCTGTCCTGACATTTTTTAACGAAAGGGGTGTGTGTGGTGGTGGTGGTGGACCAAGATGGTACACATACAAATCTGTTTTTACAAAGTAAATGGAGAAGCTCATTAGGTACATCTCTGTTTCAAGATGTAGACATTTGCCAGCCAAAGGAAGCGCATATTTCCACGTACGCCCTCCCACCCTCCCTAAATCTCTATCCCACCACCAGGAGCTCAGCTAAAAGGATAAAGCCCAACAAAGGAATAGTTGAGAAGTGATGGACACAAGGACATCTACACAGGTTCTGGCACGCCATCCCCATGTGCCAACTGCTTTCATTTAGAGCCTTAACTTGTCCAAAATGAACCATCCCCATTCTCTTTTCCAAAGGTGTTATTTTTTGAAGGGTGGGGGAAGAAATTCAGTTACCCATTAACTAATAATACAATCACAGCCAAACATCATTTCCCACGTGGCTTTATCACAGAATAGTTTTAAGAGAATTGTCTTTTCATACAATTATCTACCAAACTCTCCAATCTCTTCTACCCTGTGAGGATGACTTGCTTCATCACTTCACTTATTATTCCTCATCTAGTCCTTAAGCTTATGGTGAGATTTTTCCTCATTTTGTTTTAGGGTGAAAACCACTATACTCAATCTATATGGAAGGGTATACCAGGGCAAGGAGAGTGCCATGCAGCACAGATCTAAAGGCAGGGGATGATTTATCTTCCACAAGTCTAATTAAAGAGCCCTTTTACCCCTTTAACATAGGCAAATGTACAGAAGCAGACCCCGGAAGCTTCCAAATCTGCCATCCTAGAGATTTAGCTTGAGAGCTCATTTCCCCCAAAGAGGAAAAGATATCCCAGTCACCCTCTATAATTCACAATTAGCCCAATGAAAGAGATTTTGTGAAATCAGAGTGATGAAAACAAAACCAAGATCAAGGGAGTATGGGAGGGCATTATCAATGAATGATAACATACATAAGGACACAGGTCACATATACAGGTCTCTGCCACTCTCTGGGAATGGCATGCTACAACTATCTGAAGACAGAAGGTTCTTGCCAGCACAGTTATTTCCTACAAGTCCGGTGAGGTGTTTGCTTCTTCTGGATCTCCAACCTGCATCGGCTACGCTCATCCAACCAGGGCAGCTCAAAATTGCTGGCAAAAAAGGATAATGATATCAACTTCCAAGACTAGAGGGATTCAGTGTGAGCATGACAATAACTCCAAAAAAGACATAGTGTCCCTCACCACTCCTAGCCCTGACTCCCAAGTCCCGAGTTTGGAATGTCTGTCCTGTCTCAAAGCCAGAGAAGTAGTATGCTATTAAACCGGTTGAATAATCTATTTCTAGTTTAAAAAGCAATTCCCCTAATTCCAGGCTTGGGAATCTTATCACTGCAAAAACTAGTTGCCCAGGTAGCCTCACTACTTCTGTCAAAGAACCATGGCTATCCCTAAGCCACCTGCTCCACTTATAGCTAGGCTTACATGCAGTCTGAAAAGGGAGGTAAAGTGCTGGCTACCTGAGAGGGGAGGTGAAAAAGAACCCTTTATACTTACTGTGGAGTTAATTTTGGTAATGGTCGTCCAAATGCTACAACAGGCAAGAAGGGAGTAATCATCAAACTTTCAACTATGGAAGAAAGCCAAATGCAACCTTGTTAGTGACATAGATGAGAAGTTGGGCAGCTATACCTGCTCCAACATACTCTTTATTCATTCAGAGCAAACTGTAACCTGGAGCCTTGCACCTTTTTTTTTCCTTTAAAAAAATCTACTCTTTTAGATAGACAAAACTTACCATCATCTGGCTCAGGGAAAAATGAGGTAACCTCAGGCTCAGATTCCTGAATTCCTTTCTTTTTATACATTCTGAGCTGCAGTCGCTGTAAAATTCTTTGTTCCCTGATCCTCTGAATATCCCATCTGGGAAAGACAAACCAGACAAACAAAACAAACAAACCCAACATTACTGAAAACCTGCTCTATAAAAGCAACTCATACAATCCAGATGCTAAGAAGATCTTTGCTGACTCTTCTTGTTGGGGGTAGGGGTGCAGGGGTGGGAGATGTTAAAGAGAACTGCATGCCTGGTTAGGGAAGACTGGTTAGGTCTAGCAGTCCAAATCATGTGTCGGTGTTCCACAAAGAGTAGAACTAAGGAAGGGCGTACCCGAAGAAAAAGGCCAGACATTTTACCTACAACAAGTACCACTTCAAACAAAGTCACTGAACCCATTGGGAAGCCAGTAATTTCAGTGTGTTAAGAGCTCTACAATTCTCCACAGCATGGATGAGAGAGGTATCGGAGTCCCAGGGCTCAGTTGTTCCCAGGATGAACATCTGTAGCCTCACCTTTTCCTTCTCTTCTCATCCAGCTCCAGTTTTGCGTGTCGCTTTGAAAACACACTGTCATCTAGGTTCTGTGTAAAGAATAGCAGCTGATAAGCTATTTATCACCACATGACACACATATACTAACTCATTTCCAGCTTCCAAGGTGGTAAAATCTTTCACCTTCAGGTCCCACCTGAGTCTGTGAGTTCTATGGGTATTATGGGAACCTCCTGGTAACAGAATCAACAAAACACATACCCCTTCCTTCCCCTGCCCGCCCTTGTAGAATCTCCAAATTTCAAAATCATTCCCATAACTTTCCAAAGCGGAAGTCACATCAAACTGACATAACCTGTGAAACTGTCACGAGCCCTCTCTACCTCATACTTTATAAGGTTCTGAGTTTTAAATAAATAATCATACTTTTAAGAATCAAGTCTGGAATATATAATTTTGTTGCTGAGTGGTGGTACAGGCTAACTTTTCTGCTTAACATGAAATCTAGCTTTGAACACTCCCTAATTGTTTATTTTTTAATAAACCACTTAACCACTCTGGACCTCATCTTTCTCATCTACACAAGAAAGGAGTTGGAGTAGATAATTTCTCAAGTTACCTTCCAGCTTTAAAGTTTCATTTAATCCATCCATACAGTAATTATGACATATTCAAGTTACACCCCCATTTGTACTCCGTCTCTCACTCTCTTACACTGACAGGTCTTGGGTACCTACCTCCAAAAGGTCTGAAGGATTTGGGTCCCTTAGAGGCTCTACTGAGTGGTCCCTCCAAGAAGGAACTAGAAAAAAAAAAAAAAAGAAAGAAAAAGAAAAAGAAAAAGAAAAGGAGGAGGGGTGGAACCACTCTTAAATCCAAGGTCACACAACCCTCCTACTATTTACTAGGACAAGAGGTCTCTCCCCAGTAAGACAAAGTTACCAAGTGATAGGAATCCATTCTATGGCCTCACCTGAAGCCACATTCAGTATCCTTGCTATGGTATAAAAGAACCTAAAATGCCATTGTAGTCTGCCAAACACAGGATCACAAAAAACCCCTAAGTCAATACCTGACAATTCATATAATGGATGCTATTGCAGTTCCTGAAAAACAACTAAAATTTGTAGTCATTTGATGCCTATAGTGTAATCATACCAAGGAGTCTCACTCTCCCACATCCAACTGATGGGGAATGCAGCTCCCAACCATCCACCATCCCACCAACCCCCACCCCAGGCCCAGCCAGCACAATTCCTATTCTACTCACCAGCCAAGACTGAAGTTTCTCCTGCAACACTTGATGGCATCAGACACCCTAAATAATGCAGGAAAGAAGAATCATCTCAGTGTAAAAAGAAAAAAAGCCCATACCCAAAATGGAGGAAAGGATCATCACTGAAGTTCTCACTAGGAAGCCATTTTGGTTTTTTTGAGTTGTTCTTTTGAGAATTTCTCTCTGGGGGAGGGGAAGAGGGAACAACAGACAAAAGAAAAGAAAATAAGCCCACCACTTTTTTTTTTACACTGAGACGACTTCTTTTCTTCATTATTTAAGGTGGTTTCCCTGCAACAGTTGATGGCCAAGGATATCAAACCTTAAACTCAGAACATGGCAGGTGAGTAAAAGTTGACCCTATTTTTCAAATAAAAGATCAGTGTTCTCAAAACTTACATATGTAGTCTTCTTAAACAGCTCCCTCCTCCCTCCAAACAAACTACCTTGCTGGTCCAGCCTGAACAACATGCACAAAGACTTTGGCTTCCTTAGAATAAGCCATTGAGACTTCCTCTTGAGATAGGGCATCAAGAATAAGGATTCACATGTTATTCACAACTCGGGCTCCTCAAAGGGCTGGGATCCCCCCCGCCCCCCACCAGACTCCTTCTGTGCTGCTATACCCACAATCTCAGAGGTGCTTCGAATTTTCTGTACTAGGGCAGAAAGGGTTTTCAAAAACAGCCAGTCACACAGAACAGCTCTGGACCAAGCCATTTCCCAATCCCGGATGGGAAGTTGCTTCACAGTTTCTCTTGTTACATAGCATTGCCATGGCAGCAAGAAGGTTAACTTAAGGATGAACCTGTTCAACTGACTGAACCAACAAAAAAACCTGAACCTAGATCAGGATCCTGGTCTATTGCATGTACTCAAATGTGAGGACTAATGAATTTTAGATAATTAAGAAAAGTAATCTATCTTTCCCACTTAATTTTGTCACCAGAACAGCCTAACAAAACCTGGAGAATGCTCTTATCTTATTGGAATGGATTCCCATCCCCATCCCTGCTGGGGCAAGACACAGTGGTAGAAACTCGGGGCTGCAGCTCTATCCAAGTCTTCCCCCACCATCACCCCAGAGCACGCACAGTGACTGTCATACACTAACATTACACAATTGAAGGCACATCACAGTTACTGATTGATGTAGGAGATAGGGGAGCATCTCTGTGTGGAAGCCATAAAGGAAAAAAGGGAATGAAGACCAAGGTCCCACACCCCGCGCCCACCCCAAGCAGCTCAGATATCCCAAGATAGTCCTTATTGTTTGAAAAATAGTTTGTAGACCATTTTATTTAAATATATGAACAACCAATGGGCTACTGCAATCCAAGTAAACTCTTCACATTTAGAACCTTTGTGAAGTATAGTAAGATAAAGTAAGACTGTTTGGTCTTTGGCAGATTCCTCCTGCCCACCCCCCCCAGACCGGGACATAGAGATACAGATGAATGTTTATATAGTTAAAGAGCGGAGGCCCAGGAAAAACTCCCCACCCCAAGCTGGCTCCCCAACCCAAAAATTACCATTGGCCCCTGAGAACACCCAAAGACCACACCCTCCCAGGTTTCACACAATATCAATTGCAGGAACAGTCGTGCATGGCAAAGTATAAGTTCTATGCATTTCACAGCACAGAAAACCCTTCTTTCAGAGGGCATGCAAGTTGCCGGAGATTACACCCCCAAGTCTGGTGCTCTTGTGATGAGCAACTTACTGGCAAACACATCTCCCAGTGTTGTAAGCAGGCAAATACATTGAGCACATTTTGCTGTAATTCCATCTATTTGCAATGCCTGCACAGTGTCTGTCTCTGGCTGTTAACTTACTCATTCTTGACAGAACTCTGCTTTATTGATTGCACTTTTTAAAAAATGCCAAAGGCATTTTCACACTTGTTAGCTTGACCGCCACCACTAGGGTATAAGAGCAAGTGTTCTCTATGCCTTACTTGCTACAGTCTCCTCCTTCTTTGGAGAGGATTCCCGTAATGGTAACGGTGATGGGGGAGGCTGGTGCCAACGACACAAATACATTTCTGTGGTGGAAAGGTACGGCAAATCTTCTATCTCACTTGAGAAGGCTTTCTCCTTGGGATGGGTGCTGGGTCCCTTCTGGGGAGTGGAGAGTCTTGGCGGGGTGTCCACTGAAGACCGGGTCTTTTCTGGAGTTTCTTGGCTCCTCAATTCACGTTTACAAACAGTTTCAGATAAGGAACCACAGGGCTCCTCTTTAATGGGAGAGTGCTTAGGAGTTTTTGTTTTGACTTTTGAAAATTCAGGAGCCAGTTTTTTAACAGGAATCTTTCTTTCTGTACTTCCAAATGGGGATTTCCTATTAGATAGAGAAGAAAACATAATACAATTCATTGACTCCTGGGTAAAATCTGATTTGATTTCATTCTGGGGTAAGAGATTTAGCTTGTATTCAGGTATCTAAATGTTTAGATTTACTTGGCAGTCATGAGCAGAAACAGCCTCATGCTTCACAGTACATATAATAGACCCTTAGTAAATGTCTGTTGAACAAGTGAGTTTCCATGCTTAAAAACCTCTATAGTATCCGATTGTCTACTAAATCTAAAAAGGTCCCTATTTTACTCACAATCCTTTGGCTAATATTAAGTGCTTATTTCATTCCTGTCAACCAGAAACCAGTCTCTTATTCCATACCTTTATCCTATACCATGCTAGTTATAATCTCAAGTTCTTTTTTTCTTGCTCTTTATTCACTCTTTCTCCCAGCACCCCACATTCCTAGAATACCATCTCCTTTTCTTTTTACCAACCTAAGTTTTATACTTCTTTTTCAAGATCATCTGCTCCTTAAAGTTTCATTATTTTAATTCAAAATAATCTTTAATATCCCTGAATCTTACAAAACTTAGTTTGTCTCACTGTTGTCTACCTGCCTATTTTATTGTCCCTGAATTCTTAGTTTTTAAAATTTATGCCATCCTCACAGCTAATCTCTCTTGAGTCCAAGGACAGTTAGGTTTTACTTTTTTATATCCACCAATGCCTAACACAATGAAGGAATTTAACACTTCCTAACTTGAACAAACTGCTATAGTTTTCTTTAAGAAACTCAGCTGTCACATTTGTTGCCCATTCTCTTTATGATTTACTCTGCATTCCGTGATTACTGCTGTGACCAAAATGTTCCTAACAGACTTTTATAGTCTGCACAAGAATATCTCAAGATACTTTCTCAGCACAGACGACCTCATAATTCAGAATATGACCGTATTAAAACTAATTCATAAGTCCCAATCCCCTACTGTCAAGTCACTGGAAACAAGTGTCCTCATCATGTCCAGACAGCAGAACAAAGTTATCAGCACACCTTTTGTGTCCCTTTCCACTCCGCCCACATGAGAAAGGCTTGGGAGGCAGAGTCTGGGATGTCTCAGAAAGCTCTGGCTGGCACTCCAGTTTAATTTTCTCAGATAGCTCGGTTTCCTCTCTCTCTTCAGTTTCATAGCCCTGAAACAGCTTATGCCTTTCTTTCTCGTTATCCTTCTTTACCAGCTGCATCCGCCTTTCCATACGTTCAATCCGAGCAAGAAGCTAAAAAGAGAGTGGCAAAATGCAGACTTAAAACAAAAAGTTACGTGCAGATACTTAGCCCATTTAGGAATCTGTATGGTCTTCTATCCCCTTCCATGAACCATAATAATTCAACTTACTTTTAATAGGCAGGTGTTAATCTAAATAGTTTTTCTTAAACACAATACAGAAGACAAAGTACATTACTTAATTTTAGGGGCTAATATAGTTGGGTAGGGACGTGGGGGAATTTGTAGTTCATTTTTCTGAAAGAAGAACCTCTTTATTGGGAGGGGCCACAACATGCCTTTTAAATGGCATGGTCTCTGCTACTGCTAACCATGTGGCTCTAAGTCAGCTTGGTAGTTTCCAGAATTAACCTTAGGTTCTCTAAGGAGTCCCGAGGGTTCTCCAAATCCCCCAAATCCTATCTTCTCTACTTCCTCTCCAAAATGCTACACACACAGGCAAAGTCCAAAGAGTACAGCTGAGAAGGAATTAAAAGCTCACACAGCCACAGTGCCAATAGGGATTGCAGTGTTATTTGAAAGGGGCCTGGGGTGGGAGGGTGTCACCTAAACAATGAACACTCAATTTGGAAGAATTATAATAGAAACCATTACCCCTAAATCCCATCAATGATGAAATATGCATATTGCTTTGCTGCTCTGCACTTGAGATAACAGAAGAAAATTATATCTATTTATCTGAATATTGACTAAAAATAAGTCTTTTAACTCTAAGGGGAAAACTACATAATCAAACAGAAAATGAATGTCTATTATCATTGAAAACTGCACATTAACATGTTCTGAGAAAAGGTGCCTACTGTGCTTATACCCTATAATAAGAATTGTATTTGGGTTAGACACTGATATTAATGTTGCCTCTGCTACATCTATTTAGCTGCAGTAGAGGCCAAACAACTGGAATAAGAGAAATAAGCTTAAGCAACACTGAGACTGCAATACACAACGGAGGCAGTTAATGCCAAGTTCAGACTGACACTCTATCCTTAACTCACCCCACTTTCCTGCCTAGAAAAATCTGCAAAGAGGCCATTACCTCAGGAACTGAGCATAAACCTCCACAATCAGGAGAGAGCCCCCCTCTTCACAATACTCATTCCATCTCCTTCTGATTTGATTCACAGCCTCAACATTACTTAACCACGGTTTGTGGGTGATATTTCCTTAATTTCTTCTTCTACACCCCTCTCCAATGTAAGGATATGATGTGTTGTAATTACAGTACCATCACACCCCTAGACTGCAGTACAGTAGCTGAGCAGTGCCACCTCCATGTTGAGTAACTTCCACACATCAACACCATGAGATATTTCAAATGAGACCTGCCCCAGCTCCCGTTCCACCTTGCACAATGCCTTCTCCAATAAAGCAGCCACTGCCTGATGCGATTCATTTGGAGAGCAGACAAAATGAATAGCCCTCTGCTCCCTTGCTCAGCCCTTGGCACAAACCAAGAGGGGGGGGGAGAGAAAGAGAGAAAGAGAGAGAAAGAGAGAGAGAGAGAGAGAGGCTGCTGCAACCTTAACACAATTGTAGAAACCATGTTTATTTTTAGGCAGCTGTAAGGTGTGCTAGCACACTAATAACCCATCATCACAGCTTTCCAGATATTTGAAGGAATATGTTTCAACACATAAGGTTCCCTTACCTACTACTGCAGTAAAAACAAGCCAATAGTCATGCTGCTCAGAAGTACAAAGAATAATAAATGACTTCCCTACTACCTTAAGATTCTAAAATATACAGGGGTTTTTTTTGGGGGGGCGGGGGGGTTCTACTTAACACATTTGATAAACTTACTTTCCCCTGATGTCTTAAAATCTTCCAGCCTCTCAACACCATTCTTATACAAGAGAGCTGGTCAGTGGGTCAGGTTTTAGAACAGATTCCTATTAAAAACTGTCTGAAATCAAAAGCAGTAATTCTCTTAATATCATTTAAGAAAACTAAAATAGGATTCCACTGTGAATCACCTCTGCCCCTCTGCCGATTAAAAGGCCTACCACTCTTCTACCCAAAGATGCTACAGCAGTGTTGAGAGCAACAGCTGCTATGTCCTCTCCTCCAGAATGCATTTCTAACACAAAAGCTCTTTAACTTAACCCCTCCATAAAGCCACCACACATTCATCCCACCTTTTCATTTTCAACCCCTCACAAACCAGGTCTTTTCCCACTCTACATATCTTTCCCATAAGTCTGGGGCTGTCATTTTAAATTAACCCTTTGGCGCCTGCAACCTTCCCACCCCTCCCACCCCCCTGGGAGGGTGCCCTTTAACCCTGCCCTCCAGCCCAACGTGTCTGTGAGCCAGGCTCCCAAGGACCCGGCACGAAAGGTACTCCTTTGCTGCTGGCCAACCTCCTTACCCCTAACCAAGGGATACCTTAACCTCCTACAGCCCCCTTCCCCTGAGCATGCGCACAACTCGCTCCTCGGCCCGAACGCACATTAACCCCTCCCGTACCGTGTCTCTCTCTGACTTCAGCTCCTCAATCTCCTTTTCCTTAGCCTGCAGCTGCTGCTGCTGCTGCTCGATGAGGTCCAATTGCAGCAGAAGTATCTGTTTGAGGCAGGCGGCCTGACTGGAAGCTCCCGAGCCGCCGCCACCTCCGAGAGGGCTCTTCCTCATACTCTTCCATCTGCCCTCGCTGGCCGCCAGGGTCCCGGCGGTGGCGGTGGGCGCGAGGGGTGGCGGCCCGGGCAGAGGTAGTGGTGGGGGTCCCGCCGAGTCCGAGGCGGTGGCAGCTGGGGGAGCCGCCCCACCCTTGTCCCCAGCCCAGGGCGTAGGCTCTTTGGCCGCCGCCACGAGAGAGCCCGTCTGAATGGGCAGCACCGCCTGATACTTGGGTCGAGGACTGCAGCCGGCTCCGGCTGCTGCTGGCTCCCCCCCAATGCCGGCTTGTTTGGTGGCCGGGGGCGGACAGGGCAAGGGCACCGAGCCGCCCCAGCTCTCTTCCTGCTGCCCGGGGGCCGCCCCGGCCGGGAGTAACAAGCCCCGGCCCTTGCCGCCGCAGCCGGCCGGAGAGGGCGCGGGGCTCCCGCCCTGGGAGGAGGCCAGCGGGGGCCCCGGCTCCTTGAGCTTACGGTGCCGGGGGAGGAAGTGGGCTTCGGCCGCCCCGGGCTCGTCCTCGGGCCCGCCCAGCGCCGCAGCCCGCTCGTAGTCCAGTCGCTGCTCAGGGTTGCCGCCGGCAGGGGCCGCGGCCGCCTTGAACACTGCGGATCTCATGGTCATAGTGGTCCGGAGCAGCGCCGGGGACCGAGACTGAGGAGGGGGTGGGGAAGGGGCGAGGTGCGGGGGGTCGAGGACGGAGGAGGGGGAGGGGAGTTTGGCGGGCTCGCCTCAGCAGCGCGGCAGCAGGCCTCGGCTAACACGGCTCCTCCGGGGCCCGGGCGCCATCCCGCCGGCACGCGGCGAAGTGGAGGCCGCGGCTGAGGCCCGCTGCCGGCCCATGGGGGCCTCGCCGCCGCCTCTGCTGCCGCCGCCGCCGCCTTCGCCTCAGAGGCAGGAGCTCGCACCCAGCCGCCCCCGAGCTCATCCCCGGAGCTCGCTTCGGCCCCCCCTGGCCCGGCCGGGCCCGCCTCGTCTCCCCACCCCACACCCCCCCTTCCCCGCCCCGGCCCCCCGCCCCGGAGCTCGCCTCAGCCGCCCCGAGCCTCCATTTCCCCCCGCTCCTCCTCTGGAGGGGGTGGGAGGGATGGGTCCGCCCAAAGCCCTCCTACTCCGGGAGGGGGTCTGTCACCTCCCCCGGGGGTCTCCGCGGCTCGGGGTCCCCTCCCCCACAGTCACCCCGGGCGCCTCAGCGTTTCCCTTTAAAAAAACGGAGCCGCTCGTAGCCGCCACCGCCGCAGCCGCCGCTGACCGGAGGGCGCATGCGCCGGGAGGGCAGCGGGCGGGAGTGAACCCGGAGCGGAGAGGAGGGAGGCGGGCCGCGCTATTGTGAAAGGGGCCGCCGCCGCCGCGAAGGGGGCGGGGAGGGGGCCGCGCGGGGCTGGCGAGGGGAGGCCGGGGATCAGGGGCGAAGACCAAGGAGCCCGCGGAGGAGCGGGGTGAAGGTGGGCTGCCGAGGGAGGGAAGAAAGGGCGAGGGTGGCGACGGTGGATGGGGAATGCGGAGGCGCCCAGGAAAAAAGGGGCGCGAGAGAAGGGAGTTGAGAGGAAGGAAGGGGGCTGCGGGAAGCAGAGCCGCCGTTCGTGGACTTGTACCCATCGCCCCACGTACCCGGCCTGTGCTGGGCGGCCCCTTTCCCGGACTAGCGGCCCCCGCAGCCCCGCAAACCTGGACCAGAGTTAGGATGCAGCCTCCTCTTGGAGCCTGTGGATGTTTCCTAGGGGTAGAATTCTAACCCCGCCGCCCCCTCCGCTCCCCAGCAGCCCCACGAGGGACCCAGAGCAGAAATGGAAGAACCTCGGGTCCTACAGCGGGGAAAATATCCATGATGTCTGCTGCCGAGGGACTTTCCTACAACCTCCTTTGAATGAATATTGCCAACTACCAACAGTTCTTTCTCCATGGCCATCTCCCCAGCCTTCTAGTCATTTCTAGCATCTTCTAGAATCTAGAGACTCATGAAGGGTTGAAGCAAAGGAAGTCTCAGAAGGGATTTTTACCTTTAGTGGGAATAGGAATACTTTAGGGTATTATGCTATGCTGAGCAGTTCTTCCTATTTCTATGTTCATTGAGAGTGTGTGTGTATCTGTATGCATTTCCAGGCAACTTTAGCCAATAGGTCCTCACAGAATTCCTCGTGGAAAAACTTTTAAATACTTTAATTGTTTTTCTTTTCTGCTGAAGTGTATATATATATTTTTTCAATCCATATGGAGATGACGATGACTAACATTCTTGGCTTCTAATGTGAAACCTCTAATTAAAACTATGTCTCTGCCTTGTGGGCCCAAACCATGAAGCCCTGGAAATTTAAACAAATGGGTGTGAGTGTGTTAAGAAGTCAAGAGAGCCCCAGTCCTCTTCCACCAGACTCTGGTCTCAGATGTGCAAGGGCAGTATTGGGGTTAGGGATACCAGTGAAGGAAGATGTGACGGGAAGTAATCTCATACGGTGATCTCTTCCAGTATCAAGACTCCAATACCATCTCTACACTCACAACTCCCAAATGTGGATCTTCTTCCTAACTCCAAAACTGTATATCTAAATACATAGGAGACAGCTCTGGCTGGTGCAGCTCAGTGGATTGAGTGCCCATCTGCGAACCAGAGTCGCTGGTTCGATTCCCAGTCAGGGCACATGCCTAGGTTGCAGGCCATGTGCCCAGTAGGGGGCCCATGAGAGGCAACCACACATTGATGTTTCCCTCTCTTTCTTTTCCCTTCCCTCTAAAAATAAATAAGTAAAATCTTTAAAAAAAAAAAAACCTAGAAGACATAGTCACTTGGATGTGTAATAGGCATTTCAAACTTACATCTAAAATCACACTCTTGAATTTCCCCCACCCAAATCCTGCTTTTTCTTCAGCCTTCCTCTCTGTCTCACCTTATGCCCAATCAGTCTTCAATCCATTGACCTTCAAAATATACGTCCAGAATCCCATACCTTCACAACACCTCCACAACCTTGGTCTAAGCCATAACTATCTCACTTTTTTTTATTGCAGTAACCTTGTAATTAGTCTCTTAGTTTCAACCTTTGCCTTCCCCTACTTAAATCTGTTCTCAACACACTAGCCATAGTGATCCAGAGTGTGATCATGTTTCTTCTTTGCTCTAAATTCATGGTTTCCCATCTTACTTGGAGTAAAAATAAAATTGTGGCCCATATAGGAGGACCTGGCCCTATGGTATTGCTCAAGGACTTCCGCTCCTACTGCTTTCCTCCGCAACCCTCCCCCTACAAACACACACCACTTAGCTGTTTTTCAAACTCCTGGTGTATGTCTGCTTAGATCCTTTCACTTGCTGTTCCTTCCACCTAGATCACTTCAGATGTCCAGGTGACTTCCTCTCTCATTCTAAATATCTTTTAATCGAATCTTTTCTGGCCACCCTATGTAAACCCACAACCCCCTTCCAAAATCCCTCTCTATCGCCTTTATTTTATTTTTGATTCTGAGAGGACATTTATTAAAGCTGGGGACAGTGAAACAAGGAGGGGCCTAGGGTAGAGAAAGTAGAAGGAGCCCGGCTGGTGTGGTTCACTGGATTGAGTGCTGGCCTGCACACCAAAGGGTTGCAGGTTCTATTCCCAGTCAGGGCACATGCCTGGGTTGTGGGCCAGGTCCCCAGGAGGGAGTGCATGAGAGGCAACCACATATTGATGCTTCTCTTTCTCCCTTTCTCTCTTTCAACATAAATAAATAAAATCTTTAAAAAAAAAAAAAAAAAAGCAGCAACAGGAGAGAGCCTAGGTGGATCTGCTTTGTCTCTCTAGAAATGTTACAGAAACGGGAGCCTTGGAGATATGTTCAGGGGGTTAGACCATGTTCAGGGGGTTAGCCCAGGATGAGCTGCCATGGCTCATTGCTCCCTCGTGAGGTCCCTTAAAAGTTTAGGAGATGCAGGCCTGTCAGGGAAAGAGAGGGAGAAGGGAGAAACGTGGGTATGGTCCCCAGGAAGGAGAGGGCACCCGCTTTATTTTAATTTATAGTACTTATTAACAACTAACATGTAATTTACCTTGTTTATTGTCCTGTCCCACTAGAAGGTTAAGCTTCATGTTTTGTTCACTGCTGTATCCTCAGTACTCAGAACCACACCTGGCACAGAGTAGGCACTTAATAAATATTCTGTAAATGAGTAAATGAGCTGTTTAGTTATATTAAAGAGAAAGCACCTATCCTTGACCTTTATCTTGATTGAGAGTGACAGTCATATTGGATTGGTCAAAAAGTCCATTTAGTTTTTCCCATGAAATAAAAGACACATATTTCATTTTCACCAATAACTTTATTGATTTTGATATTTTGAGTAGATCAGCTATCTCCCGCTATTGACTTCTAGTGGGTAGAGGCCGGGGTGCTGCTAAACATCCTCCAATGCGTAAGACAGCCCCACAGCAAAGAGTTATTTGGCCAAAATGTCAGTAGTACCAAGAAACTTCACAAACCACTGTTGTTGTTGTTTTTTTTTAAGATTTTATTTATTTTTAGCCCTGGCTGGTGTGGCTCAGTGGATCAAGCGCTGGCCTGCAAACCAAAAGGTCGTCCGTTTGACTCCGTCAGGGCACATGCCTGGATTGCAGGCCAGGCACCCGATTGGGGGCATGCAAGGAGGCAACCAGTTGATGTATCTCTCACACGTTGATGTTTGTCTCCCTTTCTTTTTCTTTGTTTTTAAGATTTTATTTATTTACTTTTAGTGAGAGGAGGAGGGAGGGAGGGAGACAGAGGGAGAGAATCATTGGTATGAGAGATGTTGATTGGTTGCCTCTCACAGGCCCCCAACCTGGGGCCTGGCCCACAACCCAGGCATGTGCCCTGACTGAGAGTCAAACCCGTGACCTTTCAGTAAGCAGGCTGGCACCTGATCCACTGAGCCACACCAGCTAGGGCTCAAATCACTTTAGACACCTTCTATCAGTCACAGCACCATACACTGCATAAATCCTTTTTTTGCATTTCAGTTGGTTTTTACCTTTCTTCAAATGGTAAAGCATAATATGCCAAAAATATTGCATATTCCATCTTCAATATTAAAAAGGCTGCACAAAAATTCACCAATTTTTTTAATATTTTTTTTAAATGCACACAAATGCACTTGATGGCTGTCACTACGCAATCTAACAAAATAGTTTCAAATGAAGTTAAAGGCAATTAAACACTACTAGAGCCATAGTACAGAAAAAACAATGAAATTTTTGGCCAACCCAGTAGAGGGAATGACAGGTGGGAGACTCAATGGTTAAAAGCAAAGCCTCTGGTGTGAGACCGAGCAGCAGTTACAATTCCATCATTTCATAAAATTGTATTTAGGAATACTGACATTTGGATTTCATATAATTTTCATGTGTCATATAATATTATTCTAGATTTTTCAGCTATTTAAAAATTCTGAGCTTATTCTTAGCTTGTGGCACATAAAAAAAACAGACACTGGGCTGGATTTGACACTCAGGCTGTAGTTTGCCTACCACTGGCTAAGAGACCAATAGATCAAACTGGAGCCAATCTTCAACAAAATGTGTGTGGCGGGGGGTGGGGGGGGGTGGCACTATGTAGTACCCGTGTAAGTCAATGCAGGGTGGCCTAGAAACGTTACTTATTCTGAGATTACATGCTTCCTATTTTGAGTGTGTTAAAATGTACTTTCTTTTGTGAAACTATGGCAATAGTAAATAGCAGCTGGTGCCAGTAGTTTTTTAATGTCCTTACTTGGCAAAATAAAAAGCTGGGAATCTTATATGAGTCCCCTGCATTTTTTTTTTTTTAATTCTGTTAACTTTACAGCTCTGAAATCCAAAGTCTAGGATTTCACTGCTCCAGGCGAAGTAAACATGATTTTCTCCCTAAAGCCAAAAGACTGGAATTTTGGGATTGGAAGTCAAATCTTCTTGATCTCTGCTCACA